AAAAAAATTTACTGCGCATAAATATTTAAAAAAATTATTTATTGATATCCTTGAAAACTTACCGTGTAAGCATACTGTAACCTTGCAGTGACCTTAGCGCCTACTTTTTTGTTGTGTCGTGCAGTATTGCCAACCTATATTCTTTAAAAATTAACTTAGTGCCTGTTTCAGCTTCGTATTGTTGTTTTTTTTGCTAATGTTAAGTAAAGTTTTGATTTTTATGTAACTAATACAATTTTGCACAATGGCCGTACTATGACGCAATGACAAGGGACAAGAACTGACATAAAAAAATGAAAAAAAAATGTTATCACTAGTGCTTTGTTGTCACAATTCTACTAACATATGTACAATACAAAACTATCAATAGCTTTTATACACTAAAAAAAAATATTTGAATCAAATAAAAAATTTTTTGATCCACATACATCATTTAATTGTCTATTATCCAATAAAAATGTATTTGAACCAAATACACATTTACTAAACCTAAGTATTTTATTTTATCGTGCCAAATAAATAATAATAATATCAAAATATCGAGTTTCATGCGATTCCGATGAATTTTTTGAAAAAGTGTCCGCTATCTTGAACTTTTGAAAACTGACTTCAAATTCGTAATCGGCGACTCCGAAAACCCCCGAAAAAAGAGTATCAGACAAATCCGATGAATTTTTGGAAAAATTGTCCGCCATATTGGTTTTTTGAGGTTATCTCAAAATCATCATCTGATGGTGTAAAACGGACCTCGAATTCGGATTCAGCGACCCAAAAAACATAAAGTAGGCTTAGGCAGACCCCCAGATCAAAACTTTTTTTTTTGTGGTTGTGTAATTTGTGCTAAATACAACGTATTGAAATTAAATACACGGAATATTTCAAGCTAACAAGGGGTCATTCATAAAGTGATACATTTTTTCAAAATTTTGACACCCCCCCCCCATGCCCCTTGTGATGCTTTTTCCATTAACGATTAACATGTAGTGTGATATTCTGCTGACCCCCCCTCTACCTCCTAAAGCATCACATGCATTATAGATGGCTCCTAAATAATTATTTCAATCACTTGTGGAAATTATTCCTTTCAAATAAATATTTAGGGGCCGTCCAGATACCACGTGGACAATTTTTCATCACTTTTTGACCCCCCCCTCCCCCCTCGTGGACAATTGTGGACTTTTGACGAATCCCCCCCCCCTAAATGTCCACGTGGACTTTTTTTGGTGAAAATTTTTTGTTTGTATGTTTCTTATTTTAAAATGGTAAATAAATATATATTTAATAGTTATTAGAAAACATTTAGTCACTGCTTCTTTTAATTATAAAAATAATTTTCAAGTTTACTGCTAGTAAACTCAAAATTTTGCTAAGCAAAATAACATTTTTGGTTGAATCACATAACAATCACATTGATAACACATCTTAGAATAACGTTTACCAACTAAATACCATTATTTTTTGGTATCGTGAAGATATTTTTGGCAAAAATATTTCAGATTACTCTACAAACTAAAAATACATAAATCTTTTTGGCAACAAATCTTAAATTATCGATCACTATAGCTAAAAATACAATGTATGGTAGAATTAAAATATTTATGCCAGGAATATCTGAAAATTATCGTATAAAATAAAAGTAGGTAAATCTTTATGGTAACAAATCTTAAAATAATATCGAAAAAACCACAAATTTACTAATCGTCATCTATATTATCATTGCTGATCCATGGTTGTGTTAACCATTCGGCAAGATTATCAGTTGCGAAAAAATCAATGGAGCTCTCTGAAGTTACATTATTTTCCATCTCTACACAAGACACTTCAACAAGTTCCGTTTCTTCATCCCAATCCTCTGTATTTCTTTTATGTTGATTTTTATGTAATATTTTAACGTGAGTAGTTAAGTGCGACTTTGCGGCAAAATAAAGGCCACATTCACTGCATATGCGTTTTAAAATTTTAAAAACAGTCTGTTAGTTGATTGAAGTATTTTGAGTCAATAGTAGGTTCAAAATTCAAGATGTATTTCAAATCAAAATTTGTTACGCTGAGTATCAAAATTTTTATCGGAGTCCTATCTGTGGAATCTTGTTAAGGGGTCACTTACCTTGCAGTACAGGTAGTACTGAAGGGCAGTACAAATCATAAGGGAGATTTTGAGGTAAATCATTCACAGTAGGTCTTAAATTCATTAAAAATGAAATTGTAATTTATGAGAATTCGGGTTTAGGCGGGTTTGTTATGATTTTTCACGTGTAGCACACCAGCCGGCGTATATTGATTCGATAAAACTCGAACGAAATCGATAAAAATATCGAATGACTTGCGCAGCGCTGCATAATACACTGGCGCGAAATTTAAAAGAGGGATAAAAAACAATAAATAAAATTTCATTTTTACTGGGTCCACGTGGATATTTGCTTTGACCCCCCCTCCCCCCCTCGTGGACAATCGTGGACTTTTGACGAACCCCCCCTCCCTCCAAAACTGTCCACGTGGTATATGGACGGCCCCTTACTAGACATAAGTATTTTATTTTATCGAATCAAATAGATAGTAATTTCAATCAAATATAAAGTATTCCACTCAAATAAATGCAATATTCAGAGCTAATAAATAATTATTTGAATCAATTATGAAAATTATTTCATTCAATACTGTATGTTTTTTTATTCGAATAATTTTTACTTGCATGAAAAAAATATTTTTCTTGAATTAAATATTTAATTTTATCATAAGTAATCGTTTTAATTGAAACTAAAAACTCTTTAATTATGACAATTATTATTTTATTTGATCCAAATAAATAATTTATTTGCATAAAATGTAAGAATTTTCTGATTCAAATAAATCAAAATTTGAATTGAATAAATAACATATATATTTACTAATTCTTCCATTTCTAAATTAAATTCTTACTCAAATTAAATTTATTAAATAACGTTTTAATTAATTATCTGGCGAACATAGAAAAAAGTAATAATAAATAAATTAATTAAAAAATATATAATTTCTAAATACTATGATCGGATATTTTCATTTTTCAACTAATTCATACATAGAATTAATGGATTTAAATATAGAAAATTTTGCTATTCGATCATATATGAGTGTATTATTTTCAAAAAAAAGTGTAAATATATTTTTATTAAAAACACGTTTTTTGTTGTTCTTAATCATTGTAAACATTAATTTTTTGTTCATTAAAATTTTTTTTGACTTTTGGACATAGAAAATTTTGCTATTCGATAATATCTGAGTGTATTATTTTTAAGAAAAAGTGTAAATACATTTTTAATAAAAACGCGATTTTTGTTGTTCTTAATCATTGTAAACATTAATTTTTTGATCATTAAAATTTTTTTTTGACGTTTGGACGTAGAATATTTTGTTATTCGATCATATATGAGTGTATTATTTTTAAAAAAAAGTGTAAATACATTTTTAATAAAAACGCGATTTTTGTTGTTCTTAATCCTTGTAAACATTAATTTTTTGTTCATTAAAATTTTTTTTTGACGTTTGGACATAGAAAATTTTGCTATGCGATCAAATGTTATGTATAAAATAAAAAATTAATTTTTTAAATGTAATAGATAACAAATTAATAAAAAGTTTTATGTGAAAAATAACAGTAAAAAAATATAAATTTTCTATGTTCAAAATAATCAACAATAAATTTTTTAGTGTTTTATAATTCTTATTCTAATTTATAATTGAATCTATTAAGGGGGGAACACCAGTTGTAACTTTCGAAAAATCAATTTTTTTTTGTGCATTTTCTTAAAGTATACATATTTAGAAATGTGTCTGTAAATTTCAAAGTTGATCCGGTGAAAAATAAATGAGATATACAGAACACTGCATCGGCGCGTCCCGTGGCTTCATACAAGGTGGCCAGCCATAACTGACCCTAACGACAGATGGCCTTTTCCTATGATTTAGAAACGGCAACCACTGCGGAAGAGTTATTATATGGTCCAGGAATCGATGACTCTTTGTTACTTGGAAACAAAATTTCTTCTGAACAAAAAAAAGTAAGTTGAAACTTTGAATGCGTTTTTCTCAAAATGACATTTTCCAAGTCGGTGACCACGATTACTCGAATACCATTAAACCGATTTATTTAAAATTTAGTGTGCTTCATTTACACATATAAGTCTAGTTCGTGATCGAAGGATTTTTTTTTATGCAAAACTTTTTTTTATATAGCTGAAAATCGACCGTATTTTTTTAACGAAAATCATACTTTTGACTTTGACAGGTCGCCATTTTGTCAAATTTTTTTTTTTTTTAAATCCTTCGATCACGAACTAGATAATCTTATAATAAATGTAAATCAATTTCATTTTTGTATTTCAGACGAAGTATACTTGCAGAATGCTGGTCACCGCAATTCGCCTTTTTTCTTAAGACGCCACTTCAATGGCTCATATCTCCAAAAGTTTTTGTTAAAAAAATTTTTTTTTTCTCTTAAATTACAGCTTTTTACATGTACTTTTAACTAATAAATAGTATTCTTTAAAAAGATTCATTGTTCTTTTGGAAAATATTCTTGAAAAAAGCATTATTTTTTGAGTTACAACTGGTGTTCCCCCCTTAACTTACCTTAATCTAGCAGCTATTGTCATGGATAATCTCCTCCCAGACGTTTTATATTTCCCATTCCTCTTCATATTTCACTTATTTAATATTTGTTTTATATTCTCCTGTCCATTTTATGATTCCTGCATTGCTTGTTTTTATCACTACACTTTTTTCCACAAGCACAACAGTGATATATCTCCTGTCCTTTCGTCACTAATCACATTACACTTTCTAAATAAAGGTAGAAATTGAAATTTTTTACTACACTTTTTACATTTGTGAAATGCAAAATATGAATAACACAGGCGACCGTATGCGAAACAAACTGTGCTGGTTCGATCGGGTCAACAATACACGTATCAAAACAAACAAGCCGGCCGGCTTTCTGTTTTCTTGCGGTTATAGGTTTCCTCATGTTATTCTTCGTTCTCTCTTTCTCTTATGCTGCGTCTACTCATCAAAGCGCGCTCTGTCTACAGCACTGGAATCACTTCACTTCATTGCGACCAGTGTTTCAAGTGGTTTGTGGGTTTTGCGGAATTTTGGTAAGTATCTTTTCCATTATGAACAAAAAGTACTTTTATAATATTTTGATTTGTATGTATATCTAAATTCAGCAGATTTTTTTATGTTTTTGGTGTAAAAAAATACCTAATTTGATACTTTAATAATATAATATTAGTGTTCTTTGAAAACTTTTTAAATAACCTCAAATTAACCTCAGATTTTAAAGCAGAATGCAATGTATTTTCACATTTTTATTGATTTTTTTTATTTCTAACAAGATATTATTATTTTAAAATATTTTTTCATCAATAACTTTAAGTATGATATTAGTTTTTATTGAATATTTTTTGATTTTATGTGTACAATAACGTGATTTTCATTATAAATCAATATATGACAGGGGCAATGTATTTATTTTTTCTTCCGAGTTGAGACAAATTTTAATTTTTCTTATTATTTACTTTTACATCTTGAAATAATTTACTTCTTTTTTTTAATTTATTTAATTATTTTATTTTAAAATTCTAATTTTTAAAAACTTTTTCTTCAGATTTTTTTAAGTAAGATAATAATTTTTTCTGGAAACAAAAAGTTTTCCGTGTAAATTAATTGAATTCAAATTAATGCTAATTTTAGAAATTCTACAAAATTAAATGCATTGCAATTTTTATTTATTGATGCATTGATTAATCTTTTTTTTTTATTAAAATATTGTATTTCTCTTTACATTCAAATAACATTATTATTATAATAAATAATATTGCGTCGCATTTGAAAAAAGCAATTTCAGATCTTTGAAATTGTTTCATTTAGATCCAAAATTATTATCATAAACAATAATCTTTGAAAATATTTATATCAAAAATTTTTTTTATTCGTTCAAATGTTTATAGCAAGAGAAACTTCTTTTTGTTTTGGTGGAAGGGAAGCCAATTTAATTTCCAACATTTTAAAGAATTAAAAAATACATTCATATTAAAATTAAATTTTTTTCATAAAGAATTTTTGCCAATTTCCAGGTTATGTCAACTAATTAAGCTTTTTCAAATTTTAATCTTTATTCAAATGCAATGTTACATTTTTTAAAATATTGGAAATCAAATTTTTTACACTTCTACCAAAATTAATCTGAATTCTGCTCCTTTTTAATTTAAAATTCGAAATATTCTTAATTGAAAGTTTCTTTTTCATTATATCAATTAAAATAAGTATTTATTAAATATTTCAGTTGTGAAGAAAACTTAAGCATCAATGATACATAACTTATAATTTTTTTCTTCTAACGTCCCTTTCTTTAGATCGCGTCTCAAATGTTTGAAAAAATATTGCAGTTTATAAATATAAAAATGGCTTATTTATAAAAAAATGATAAAAACTACACTGAAAAAAATTAAATAAAAAATCTGCTTTTTATTTCGGCAATATCTACTGAATTACAAAAGCAGTGCACACAAGGCACTTTTTTCTTATAAAAAGGTAATTTTTGCCTTATTACTAACGTAATAAAAACATGTTATTTGTAAAATGTGTTGGTTACTTTAGTAACGCGGCAAAAATTCCCTTTGAATAATTAAAATTTGCGTGTGTTCATTGCTTTTGTAATTCGGTTGAAATTACCGAAGTAAAAAGTAGTTTTTGTGTTTTATTTTTCTCAGTGTATATTCACCATTTTATTTTCAAGATGATGTAAATCGACACTTTTATATAAAAAACAAGTAACTATTTATTTCATATATTTAAATTAAGTAATAAACATACTGCTAATTAACGGTTATATATATACCACCGAATGATAAATTCATCCTCGGAGGTCCCAAACTAATAAGGATAACGTAAGATATTTCACATTCAATAAATTTTTAATTCATCAATTTTAATAATTTTTTTTTACTCAGGAAGGTGCAAAACAAAAGAAGGAGGAGGAGTTAAAATTTCAAGAAGAAGAAATGAAACGTCAGCAGGAGGAATTACGGCAGCAGCAAGAGATATGGCGACAGCAACAAGATCAATTGCGACAGGAGCAGGATCAACTACGGCATAAACAGCAACTGCTTCATGAACAGGAACAACAAATAATAATGGAGCAGGAGAAGCAGCAGTCTTCAAATAATTATTTTTATAAATAATGAAATTAATTTATTTTCACTTTTTTCTATTTTAATACAATATTTCAAAAAAGTTCAATTATTTCTAAAAAGGTTTGAAAAAAGTATGAGTTGCAAACATTAAACCAATATCATAAACAATAGAATTTTCAATTACTTAAAATATAATTTTCGAAAACAATTAATTAATTCATAATATTTATGTTTATATTTTTATATTATATTATTATTATATTATAATACTTATACACCTACAACATGAACAACACAAAGACATTCACCTATTAAGTTTCGAGAACTAGAATATTTAAATAATACTTCTAAATAATTCCATTAATATTTATAATTTCATTTTTTTTACTATTTTATTTAATTTCTAAATCAAAGGTTATTTCCCAAATGCGTTCAGATTATTGAACTTCAAATTGCGAAATAATTTAAACTAATTGCCAGTCAATTTCGCAAATTGTGGGACTTACACTGTAAGAAGTTGACACATTATTCTGGAAAATGAGGAAACATATAAAGTATAAAAGTAAATCAGGTGGTTTAACCGATTACGCCACTAGTAAAATGCAAGTTTGCCAAAACCTGCATGGAGACAACGAGGTGTTGATTGCAAAATCAACCCTCCCACCTCCTAAAAATCGCATACCAACAGGGCGTGATCGTTGCCACCAAATTATTGTTCGAGAGTCTAAAATTGTTTTTTCCGCAGAGCGGATGTGTTTCCCGCAAAGAGGCGGATGAATATAAAGTTTAACTCCCACTAAGAGTGGTAGAGAATATTATTTGTTCCCCGCAGTAAGGGTTGAAATTTGTCAGGTTTGTTTATGAAAATACAAGTGAAATTTTCCACAATCTGTGAAATTGATTATCGTATAAAAGTTCTTTCAAAAAAAAAGTAAATTGAATCATTCAGTAAAAGTGTCAGGAAGGATTAAAGTGTAGATTCAGCGAAAACCTTCAGTGTTTTATTTTTAAAAAAAAGAATAATAAAAAAACAATTATTTATATTTCAAATTAACTGTATAATAAATTCAGACTTGGTGAACCCAATGTTCTGAATTTTAATACTGGATTTGTGATATTAAAATAATTGTTGAAAAGCAATATTTGAGACAAGCGTATTAAAAAGAAAATATAAAGATTAAAAGGGAAGGTAAAAGACTTCCGCAGATCGGAGAATCATATGTCAAGCACGAGTTTTTAAACTCTATGAGTTGGAAATGTAATTGGATACTTTTCGTAACACTTTATTCTTTATTATTCTGGTGAGTCGCATTAATATTACATATATTAATTAAAACATATAAATATATTCTAAAAACGAGAAACATACATTGACTTGATTTTTTTTAAATCAAGTAGCTTAAAGTAAACGATAATTAAATTGTAAATCTTTTCTAACTAAAACCAATTGGGGAACTGTATGTAGATTATTGGGAGTTGAATGAATAAATGTAATCTTATTTTATATTAATTCAACTCTTGATTTATTTAATCACCTTTATACGCATTTATCTCATTTCTTTCTTTATAACTACTTTCGATAAAATACCGTCTACCCGGGGGTGTTGAATGGATAACACTCTGAATAACAGTCCACTACCTTTTTCTAATTTGCTTAGCGAAGAGCTATAACGCTTTCCGAATAAGCGGAGTTGTTAATAATAAAAATTAGTGTTATTTCTAATCTTATTATTTTTCTTCAAAATTATTTTTACTTTATTTTAATTTATTTTTGTTAATTAACATCCGTCTTTAACAAAATGGTGGCAGCGGTGGGATATGTCGCTCATATTTTTGAGAAAATGGTTTGAAAAAGAGAAAAATGAGAAATCAGTAAAGAGTGAAAAAATAAATTTTCTTTCTAAAAATGTACATGTTTTAAAAACACAATTACAAATACACATTAAACACTGAGAATTTAAATGATAAAAAAATGATGAAATTGAATTTATACACTATGAACAATTATTGAAATGAAAAATTTATTTATTGTGTCTATGTTGTGATGTTTTAATTTTCAGAGAAAAAAAATTTTTTTTTGGGATTTTTGTCAAGTGCGCGAGTAGAATTTTTGTTTATTTTTGTTTGGTTCGCTAACGTCGAACCGAGACACAGTAACTACCCTTGCATTCGGCAAGCTCTGGTTTCTCCAAAAATTCGGGAAAAATTCCTCGACTTAACCGTGCCGGAAGTGTGTAGCCACTTGGGCAAGTGAGAGGATTAAAGTACGAAAAGTACAAAACGCGAATTTAAATTTTTTTGTTGAATTAAAAATTCCAAATGTTTAATTTTTCGAAATACGAGCACGAGAGTAAATCCGAAAAACAGAGTAAAATTCGAGAACAAATCTTATCGAGAAGAAATATTAGTCCAGAAAAATTTGATGCGGTAAAAAGACAATTATTCGTGGAAAAAGAAAAAATCAAAGATACGCGTTCGGAAAATAAATATAGTTCATTAGCACAATCGTTGCGAAAGTTGAACATGTCGGGTTAATTAATCGACTTATTTATTTGTTGCGAATTCAATGACCTACAATAACTAGGTAGTTTACGGGGTTAGTGTGTTCGTCATATTACAAAACACTACGAGAACCGAGTCGCGGCCAGAGTGCTGAATCGGCAGAATATATATATAGGAGAAAGAATTAAAATAATATTAAAGGAAAAAGATACAATTTACAATGAGTCCTTAAAAGGAATTTTATTTGCGTTAGTAGAAGCGAATTATTAAAATTTTATCGTGCGTTTAGATTTGAGAATTAGAAGAGATGATACATAGTTGTTTTATTAATCAAACAGCAGTAGAAGTTTGAGTGCGATTTTCGTTCAATTGTGGTAAAGAATATAGAGAATACGAAATAAGAAACCGTGTCGTGTTACAAAGTTACACGAGTATTTTTTTTAAAAAAAGGCATTTATTACGAAATAATAATTCAAGAAAATAAGAGTATTTAGTTTTTGCGATTATCAAGATGATGGATAATTTTTGAAAGATTTTTTTTGTTTATTTTTGACTTTTGTGTTTTATTTCGCGAAAGACCATGACGGACCAGGAACGAAATGGGGAACGCCGTCACTCCGGTAATGGGGGCGACAACCATGGGTACGCGGATAACCCGTTCGCGGCCAATAGGCGTGAAAATTTAAATGCAACTAGTGTAGCAGAATTGTATAGGGATAGGACAGATTTAGGGTTCCAATCTGTGTTACCCCTTCAACGACCATTTATCGCAAACGGCGAAGAAGATGCTGGCTTTGCCGCTGCTCGATCTATCGCGGATATTATGAATATACAAACTGCCCTACAACAGATAAGGGTTTTCGATGGAAGGAACATGTCGGTTAAAGATTTTATACAGGATATAGTAATGGCAGCTTTAAATTTCCCACCTGAGTATGAGGGAACGCTAATTGCCTCTGTGCTAGGAAAATTGTCAGGAGCAGCAAGGGACTGCACTGATAATAAACAATTTGCCAGACTCACAGATATAATAGATTTGTTAAGAGAAAGATTCGCTCCCGGTCAATCTTTTGAAGCTTATTATGGGGAAATGATGAATTTAAAAATGCAGAGGAACGAAAACTTGGCCGACCTTTATGATAGGTTATTGAGACTACTTAGCGGGGCAAGTGCAGCCTTATGCGCTACGTTCGACGCTAATACAGAGGCAATAACCATAAATGTGGTAAAGCATACGGCGTTGAAAACATTTGTTGGGGCCTTGCCGGATGAAATTATTAATGCGGTTGATGCACGCGCCCCTAGAAATTTAGAAGAAGCTTATAGATGTGCGAAGGCTGTGCAGGATAGAAAAATGAAACCCATTAACGGGGGTTATGCTTCATACATCACCAATTACAACAACGAAAGTCAGGGGGTCGGGCCCCCGCCTAGGGGAAGGCAAAATGAATCAAGAGATAATCGAGATTACGAAGATAGAAGAGATAGAAATAGGTATCAGGTTACAAATCGGTCTAGAAGGGGAAGGTATCAAGATGTAGGCAACTACCAGCCCAGGTACGAGACAAGAAACGATAGGAGTTACGATAGAAACTATGGGAAAAATATTTATGGAGAATCCCAGAGGGACAATACGGGGCGCAGCAATGACCCTAGACTTTATAATCCTAAAGCGAATAGCAATAATTGGGGAAGTAGGCATCAAAGTCCTAGCAGATATTCGCAGGACAACCGTTATAACACAATCAGAACTAGGGAAAGCTGGGAAAATAGATACTCAACCGATTATGGAAATGGAGAAAGAAACATTTATCAAAATAGTAGAGCAGCTTCAGTAGTAAGGGACAACACTAACCGTCCTTTAAACTGGGAGCTAGCTCGTCGGGGAGACGCAACGACGAGCTCGAACAACTCAATGCGTCCAACAGCGGTACGTTTCCAGTAAAACCCGTCATTTTCAAAATAAGCGAAACGGTCACAGAGTCGCCCGCAGTAAAATTACCGGGAAATTATTTGGTAGGGGGAAAAGCTAGTTTTTTTGTAGATTCGGGGGCGGACATAAATATTATAAAATCAGACGCTTTAAGCCCGGATGCACCGGTCAAAACCTCCGAAGCGTCATACATGACAGGAGTGTCAAGAACAAGGGTTTATACTTTGGGTACGGTTGATATTACTATATTTGACAAGCAATACACCTTTCATGTAGTAAAACCAAATTTTGGGGTCAAAACAGACGGAAGGCCATATAGGAAGGCCATATTTAAGAGAAGAAAGGGCCAATATTAATTTTTTTTATAATTCACTAATAACTGCATCTAGACCGGTACGACCCATTCCATTCATAGATCAGTAATCGCATGAAGCTAGACATAGTTTGAGGAAAGAGGTTAAACCAGTACCGCGTCTGTTTAGAATCAAGGCTAGAACTAGACAAATAATAGACATTCCAGTAACCAATCAGGACCTTAAAGAGGGATATTTACCGAGAATAGAAGCCCCAGCCGGGTTAATGTTAGGCGAAGCTTTGGTAAAACAAAAAAAGG